CCTGGAAGGTCTCAGCCAGGGGACACAGGGGGTGATTTGGGGACAGGACCCTGGGGGTAGGAGCCAGGGGGACAAGGCTGGGGACTATACAGAGGTGATGGGATGTCACAGGGCACCGTTCTGGGGTGACACAGGTGGAGACGATGGGGGGGGGTGACCCAGACAGGACCCCCAAAGGGCACAGTGGGGAGGGGACCTTGGGGACAAACTCAGGCAGGGAGACAGGGCAGGATGAGGGGCACACAATGGCAGAGCAGGGGGCATGGTGTGATGTGGGGCAGGGCCAGGGGACAATGGGCAACAGGCAGTGGGACACGGCGTGGACACAGCAGGGGGACATGATGGGGGGACATGAGGGGACAGGAGTGGGTGTGGCAGAGGAAGAAAGGGGGACGTGATGGGGGACATGGGAGGACATGAAGTGAGAGCAGCAGGGAGGACAGGGGAATGTGACAGGGGAAAGTGAAATGCGGGGACATGATGAGGGGACACCAAGGGACAGGGGTGGATGTGACAGGGTGACATGAGGGGCATAAGGGGAGACATGAAGTGGGCGTGGCAGGGGACACCGGAGGAAGAGATGGGGGGGACACACAGGGGTGGACGTGGCACAAAGGGAGACGCGATGGGGACGAGGGTGGCGGGGGTGACCCACGGCGGGACCCCGCGCTCCGTGACCCGACCTGACCCGCGCCGGAGCCCACGCGCGACCCCCGGTGACGTCATGGGCTGCCCCCGCCCCCGTGACGCGTTCCCGAGCCATGGCCATATAAGGGCAGGAGCGCGCGGGCCACGCCCCTCCCGCGCGCGCGGGGCCGGCGCCAGGCCCCGCCCCCCCCGGCGGTGGGGGGGGGAGACACCGGAACGGGGAATGGGGCGGGGGGAGAGGGGGGTGCGGAAAGCGGGAGGGGACAGGGACATTGGAGAGGGGACAGGATAAGATGGGGAGGACATCGATAGCGATGAGATGGGCGGGGGGAACTGGAGGATGGGGGGNTGGTGGGGACAGGGCGGCCTTGGTGGCAGGGGGATACAGTGGCTGTGGTGGCCATGTTGAGGACAGGGTGGTCATGGTGGGGACAGAATGGCCGCAGAGGGGATACAGGGGGTGTGGGACTGTGGAGATAGGGTGACCATGGTGGCAGGGATTGTGGCAAGGACAGAGTGGCTGTGGTGGCAGGGGGACACGGCAGCTGTATGGGGATGCGGTGGCTGTGGTGGCTGAGGTCAGGATGGGGGATAACTGTGGTGATCAGTGTCACACAGGGTGGCTGTGGTGGCTGATGTGAGGACAGGGTGACTGTGGTGACAGCGTCACACACGATGACTGCAGTGGCTGAGGTGAGGATGGGGTGGCTGTTGTAGGGACACAGTGGTGACAGGCAGACTCAGGGCTGTGTGGGGACAGTGTGGCTGTGGTGGCTGAGATGAGAATGGAGGGGCTGGGATGAGGCCTGAGTGGCTTTGGTGGGGACAGTGTGGCTGCAGTAGCAGGGACAGAGTGACCATGATGGGGACAGGCTGGCCATAACCCCCCTGAGGATTCTGGTGGGGGCAGTGGCTGTGGTGACAAAACCTGTCACAGTGGCAGGAGGGAAGAAGGCTGTGATGGGGACAATGCCCAGGGGACAGAATCCTCACTGCACGTGGTGGGTACCAGGGCCCTGCTGTGATGACGATGATGGGGACAATCTGGGCCTGGCTCTGGTGGCAGGGGGACAGCTCAGGGTCGGGGGGAGGACGTGACCTCCTCAGCAGCCACAGTGTCCCTGGTGGCGCCGGGAGAAACGATGGCGTTTGCACAAGTCCCGTCTCCATGGGAAGCGCAACCAAAACAACAAACAAAACCTCGGCTCGAGGCCACCGGCCGCCTCCGGAACCGGTGGCAGGGCCACTGCTGCAGTGTCCCCGTCACCCCACCCACCCCTCAGCACCCAGCTCAGCGCTCACCATCCCCAGCCCACCAGGGCTCGGCTGTGATGGCACTGTCGTGCTGTGGGACCCGCCCACAAGTGTCCCCTTGCCCTCCCTGGGCCCCTCCCGCACCCATGGGTGCCACAGGGTGGGGTGCGTGTGGTCACTTTAACCCTCTAAGGGTTGCGGGTGTCCCCTGGGGATTTTGGGTGGTGTTTCCTGTGGCTTTGGTGACACGGGTGGGGGACACATGGAGGAGGGGACCAGGGCAGGGAGAAGCACATGGGTGACCCATGGGACAGGGGTGACATGGGGGAACACGGTCAGGGGGTGACAGAGAGGTGCAGGAACAGGGGTAGGGGTGTCGGGGGCAGGACCCAGGGGTGACAAAGCAGGAGATTTAGGGGTGACACGAGGGGCAGGACCCACAGACAGATCAGGGGTGACACAGAGCAGGGGCAGGAAGGTCCCAAGGGACCTGGGTGACAGAAACAGCGACACTGGAGCAGGATCCTGGAAGGTCTCAGCCAGGGGACACAGGGGGTGATTTGGGGACAGGACCCTGGGGGTAGGAGCCAGGGGGACAAGGCTGGGGACTATACAGAGGTGATGGGATGTCACAGAGCACCGTTCTGGGGTGACACAGGTGGAGACGATGGGGGGGGGTGACCCAGACAGGACCCCCAAAGGGCACAGTGGGGAGGGGACCTTGGGGACAAACTCAGGCAGGGAGACAGGGCAGGATGAGGGGCACACAATGGCAGAGCAGGGGGCATGGTGTGATGTGGGGCAGGGCCAGGGGACAATGGGCAACAGGCAGTGGGACACGGCGTGGACACAGCAGGGGGACATGATGGGGGGACATGAGGGGACAGGAGTGGGTGTGGCAGAGGAAGAAAGGGGGACGTGATGGGGGACATGGGAGGACATGAAGTGAGAGCAGCAGGGAGGACAGGGGAATGTGACAGGGGAAAGTGAAATGCGGGGACATGATGAGGGGACACCAAGGGACAGGGGTGGATGTGACAGGGTGACATGACGGGCATAAGGGGAGACATGAAGTGGGCGTGGCAGGGGACACCGGAGGAAGAGATGGGGGGACACACAGGGGTGGACGTGGCACAAAGGGAGACGCGATGGGGACGAGGGTGGCGGGGGTGACCCACGGCGGGACCCCGCGCTCCGTGACCCGACCTGACCCGCGCCGGAGCCCACGCGCGACCCCCGGTGACGTCATGGGCTGCCCCCGCCCCCGTGACGCGTTCCCGAGCCATGGCCATATAAGGGCAGGAGCGCGCGGGCCACGCCCCTCCCGCGCGCGCGGGGCCGGCGCCAGGCCCCGCCCCCCCCGGGGGTGGGGGGGGGAGACACCGGAACGGGGAATGGGGCGGGGGGAGAGGGGGGTGCGGAAAGCGGGAGGGGACAGGGACATTGGAGAGGGGACCCGGGCTGAGAAGATGGGGAGGGGTAGCGAGAATATTGGGGGGGGGTACCAGAGCATGGGGGGCACCCCAAGGGTGGGTCACGAGAAAGATGAGGGAAATGGGACTCCGAGGAAAATGGGGGGACACGAGAAGATTGGGGGGGGTACCAGGAAGAGGGGGAGACGGAACTGATAGGGGGAGACTGGGAAGAAGCGAGTGGGGAATGGGAAGCTGTGGCCAGAGGATAGGGAAGATGGGGACAGAAGAGAATGGGGGGAGAGCAGGAGGGGGACACCGAGAAGATGGGGAGCAACTGAGAAGATGGAGGCTGGGGGGGGGGTAGGATGGAGTGGAAGCCATGGGACACTGGGGGGGGTTTAGAAGGAGGGGGGAAGTGGCAGAACCCTGGATGCCTCGGGGATGCTGCGCGCCCCCCGCCAACAGGAGCCAGATTTGCTCTCACGCCTCTTTATTCTCCCCCCGCCCATCCTTTCACCCCTGTCCCGGGGGATCCCAGGGGGTCCCCTAGAGCAGCGTGGCCACCTCGAAGCGCTCGGAGCAGCATCCGCGGGTGCCCACCCGCTGCCGCCGCTGCTGGGCCCCCTCCCTGCGGCGCCGAGCCCCCGGCCCCTCGGGGCGGGGGGTCTGGCCGCGCTCCGGGGGACCCCCCGTCCCCAGCGCCTCCGCCGACACCGAGCTCACCGGGGCCGAGCCGGGCTCTGCGGGGAGATAGGCAGCGTCCGGCCCCGCCGCGGCACCCGCCGGAGCGGCCACGGGGCCCTGGGCACGGGGGTGGGGGGCGCGGGGGGGCCGCACTCACTGTGCCGCTGCAGGTCCCGCAGGGCGATGGAGGAGCCGGGCCGGGCCGGGGCCGCGCCCCGGTAAAGCTGCAGCGCCTCCAGGAGCTCCGACTCCAGCGCGAACTCCGCGTCCCACTCGTAGTTCTCGTCCACCGAGGTGTTTCTCCTGCGGGGAGGGGGCGAGGGGCACGGCCCGAGGGCGTGAGATCCCGGGGATGGGTGTGGGACCTCGGGGATGGGCTCCAGGGGAGACCCCAAAAAGTGAAACCCTGGGGGATGAGTGTGAAACCCTGGGGATGGATACGAGAGCCCAGGGATGGAGGTGACGGCAGACCCTGAGGTGTCAGATCCCAGGGATGGGCATGAAACCCCAAGGATGAATATCCAGAGAGACCCCAAGCCACAATTCCCCAGGGAGGGACGTCAGGGGCAGATCCCAAGGGGTCAGATCCCAGGGATGAGCATCAGGGGCACCACCCCGAGGGATGTGGGGACACAGCAGGGATGCTGGGGGAGAACTGGAGGGGTCTCCAGGACAGGGACAATGGGGGGTGTCCCCAGGGCACTGCAGGGCTGGGAGGCAGCGAGGTGGCTCTGAGCCAGGACACCCCATCCCAGCTCCGTGGGACAGGCCCAGAGCTGCCCCAGCACGCTCCAAGAGCTCATCCCAGTGCCCTGCCCACGGCTCACCTCTTCCCGGCGCCAGGATCCATCCTGCCCCGTCCCTCCTCTGCTGCTGAGCCCCCACTGTGCCAGCTGCCCCCGTCCCCGAGGGGGGTGCCCAGGAAGGTGCCCCCCAGGGACGGTGCCAGCGAGGGGGGCCGCAGGAAGGAGCCGCTGCCCCGGCCGCTGCTCTGGCTGGTCAGGCTGCCCCGCGGGAGCTTCTCCGGGGCCGCAGCGTCCGGCGGCCGCCCCGGGGCCTCAGTCCGGAGATGGGGGGCTGGCTGGGGGGGAGGCCCGGGGCTGGGGGAGGAGGGCCAGGAGGGGGAACCGGGCAGAGAGGCCTTGGCAGGGCCCACGGGCAGCCGGGGGGGCTCAAGGAAGGTGGCGGTGGCGGGAGGGGAGGTGGCGTTGGCACTTGTGTCAATGCAGTCCGGGCACAGCGTCCGCCCCGTGCGCGGGGGGCTGGCGGGGGGCTCCGGGGCGCCGGCACTGGGGGGCTCCGCCGGCTCCTCGGGGGGGGGCCAGTCACCATCCACACACATCTCCTTGAAGAAGGGCAGGCTGAGGTACTGCAGGATCCCGCTGATGGCCGGGGGGCCAGGGGATGCCGGGGGGCCGGTGGCCGGCTGGGGGGAGCCCTGGCGGGGCGGCGAGTCCCAGGAGGGGCCGTGGCGGGGCCCGGGGGGCTCCTGGCCGGTGCTGTAAGGCAGGGTGGTGGCAGCAGAGACCACGGGGCTGACGTCGGTGATGCTCAACGCCACGGCCTCGTCCACGGGGCTGCTGCTGCCGTAGCTGAAGTAGCGGCCGTGGCGGTGGCTGGAGGCCCGGGCACCCCGGCGGGGCTGCCCCGCGGGCCGGGGGCGCAGCGAGACCCCCCTGTGCCACACGGGCTCGTCTTCTTCTTCCTCTTCTTCCTCATCCTCCTCCTCGGCGGGCAGCTGGTGGTAGGGCTGCAGGGGGTCCCGCGGAGGGTCCGGCTCTGGCCGCGGGTCGGTCTCCACCACGAAGCGCCCGTCGGGGCCGCGGCAGATGCGCTCCAGCGGGACGTGCTCCCGGCCCTGGCTCTCGTAGCCGGGGTAGCTGGAACCAGCGATGCTCAGCCCCAGGCTGGTGCCGGCCTTCTCACCCCACAGCAGTGTCCGGTGCAGGCTCCTGCACGGCGATGGCTGCAGCTTCAGCTTCACCGTGCTGTCGGGGCTACCAGGGCCATGAGCATTGCTGCAAGGGAGAGGCAGCAGCTGCAGCACCTCCAGCTGTGCTTCCAGGCTCTCACAGCCCTGCTCCTGCACTTCCTGATCTTTTCTCCAGCCAAAACTGCCCGGAGGGAGCACACAAGGGGAGCCCTGGCCCCAGCATCCACACCTAACACCCTCAGTCAGTGGCAGCAGGGGGTGGCTGTCCCCAGCCTGTCCCTGTGCCCCCAGCTGGTGGCACAGGGATGATGAGGAGTGCAGTGGGATGGGGTGAGCGTGGCATGGAGGGAGGGACAGGGATGGGAACAGGAGTGGGACAGGGAGGGTGAGGGATGGAGGGAAGCATGACATGGAGAGTGGGAGAAGGAGGGGAATGTGGCATGGCCAGGAGTGGGATTAGAGGGAGCTGGATGTGGGGAAGTTGAAACTAGAGGAGTGACACGGCAGGAGTGGGACAGGGAGGGAATGGGATGTGGAGGAGCGTGGCATGGTGAGAGAAGGACAGGGAGGGAGCGTGGCATGGCATGGCATGGCATGGCAGGACAGGGAGGGAGCGTGGCAATGGCGTGGCGTGACTTACTGTGGAGGTGGAAGCTTCTTGCTGGGGGAGAAGACGAGTGGTGGATCTGGAAGGCCATGAGAACACAGGGGGATCACACGGCGAGCAACTCAAAACGTGATGAGGGCGAGATGGCGGCACCCACCCGGTCCCCACCCACCCTGTCCCCTGTCCCCTCCCCGCTCGTACCTTGGCGGCGCTTGCGGACGCGCGCGGCGCGGCGCCGGTTCATGATGCAGGCGGCCATGGTGCTGAAGATGACGGCCACGCTGAGGAAGCAGATTCCCCCGATGACCCCCGCCAGCACCGGCTGCGGCAGCAGCTCGGGCAGCTGCGTGCGGGACGGGTACACCTCCATCCCTGCCACACACAGGGCACCCCATCAGGCAAGGCACAGCCCCCCTCGTGTCACCAGCATCATGGGGACACAGCAAAGTCTTGGCCCAGCAGGGCTGCTCTGCCCTTGGGCACTGTGGGCACCAGGAGAGGGGATGCTCTGGTCCAAGCCAAGGCAGATCTGTGGCTGTTGGCCCAGCTTTAGCCCCCCAGTTTAGCAGCAGAGACATGGGGGTGGGAGCAGCATGAAGGGGATTCTCCTTTGAGAATCTGGATGCCTCACACCTTTTGCTTCCATCCCAAGCGTGGCAGCCCAGCCCTACCTGCCGTGGAGACGTTCACCGTGTTGCTGGGGTCGCTGATGTAGCTGCCAGCAAAGGCCACCAGTCGGAACTCATAGAAGGCGTCCTGGGGGACACAGGGCCATGAGCCACGCGGCCACAGCAGACACCAAGCCCTAACCCACCCCAGCACCTGGCCAGACCTCACCTTGATGAGCCCTGGCACCAGCACTTGGGTGTCAGTGCCGGGGATGGAGCGCTCCAGCACCTCCCAGCCGCCCTTGTCCTGCCGCAGCTCCAGCGCGTACCCGCTCAGGGCCACCGAGGCACGGGCAGGGGGGTCCCAGCGCAGCAGAACCCCCCGCACGGTCTCGTTGGCTGTCAGAGCCCGCGGTGGGGACAGGAAGACGTGCACGGTCATGGCCGGCGGCTCCGGAGGCACTGTGGTCACTGGGAAGCCTGGGGAGAACATGGAGACGGGTACAAAGTGGGAACAGGAGCCTCCTGAGTGCTCGGGGGTGTCTCGGGGAGCTCCCCTTACCCCTGGGCACGGAGGTGACGATCTGGCTGAAGGGGCCACTGCCCAGCTTGTTCTGGGCCAGGACGCTGAACTGGTAACTGGTGTCTGGCTGCAGGTTCTCCACCAGAAGGTGTTGAGCCCCCGCTGGCACCGACAGTGACACCCAGTCGTGGTGTGCACGCGGCGGGTACCTCACCCTGGGGACAGGAAGGACCCGTGAGGCCGGGACTGAGGGTCCCTGGGGGGACACAGAGGGGCTGGGCACTCACAGTGGGGTGTACCAGACGCTGAACCGCTGGAAGTAGCCTCCATCAAAGCCTGGCTCCCAGGAGATGTTGGCTGCCAGCAGCAGTGGGAGCACGGAGACATTGGTGACAGCGTGGGGACTGGTACCTGGCGGGCAGCAGTGTCACACTGGGGGGCTTGGACCACCCTTTCCAGCATGGGGTGGGGTTTGCATTGCCCACCCTGGGACCATCCCAGCCCACCAGTGACGGGCAGCTCACCCAGTACATGGACAGAGGTGGCAGTGGTGACACTGGCCACCTGGTTGGTAGCCGTGCATTCCCAGACTCCGTGCTGCTCCTTGATGAGGGGGTGGAGGACGAGGCTGCTGTTCCCATCCACCTGGGCACTGCTCTTCCCCACGCTGCCCACCTGTGGGGCATGGACACGCTGACAGGGGGCCACCAACAACTCACTCAGGTGACACTGCCACACTGGGGACAAGGGGACTTAAAAACGGGGACATGACCCACCACCGTGGGGCCGGTTTGGAAGCCAAGGGGCAGGGTTTGGTCAGTTTGTTAGAGGACACGTGATGGGACCCCAATTTGGAATGAGACCCAGCATTTGTGGTGACAGGGACATAGCCCCAGGAGTGATGTAGGGACAAGGACACTGCCCCAGAAACGATGCCCCGCAAGCCAAAATCAATCTCTCAGCTGTCCCCCAAAGCAGCAATCCCTACCTTCACCCAGGTGACGGTGGGGGGCGGATCCCCGTGAGCCACGCAGGGGATCACCAGCTCCCGGCCCACCTCCTGGAAATATTCCTCCTTGGGCCGAACCGTGAAGGCAGGAGGGTCCTGCAAGGCACAGGGGCAGTTTGGGGGGGGCTTGGCAAGGGGGTGCAGAGCCAAGAGGGGACCCCGAGGGGCTCCTCACCTTCAGCAGGACCCGCGTGGGCCGGGACTCGCCGGCCGTGCCGTAGCTGTTGTAGGGTGTGCAGCGGTACAGCCCCAGGGCGTCGTCGTTCCCCGTCGCGATAACGATGGAGCCGTCGGGACGCACGGACCAGCCCGGGAGCTGGGACAGGAAAACGGGTGAGGAGGAAGAGGAGGGATCTGGGAAGGTGGGAAGGGTGGTGGGTGTGGGAGTGGCCGTACCTTGTCCAGCTCCAGCGGGCGCCCGTCCCTTGTCCAGGTGACGGACAGCAGGGGGGGGTTGGCTCTGGAGGGGCAGCGGATCACGCCCCGCATTCCCTTGGGCAGGTGGGTCTCTGGGAGCATGGTGGTCACCTGTGCTGGGTCTGTGGGGACACACGGGGCTGGGGGTCCTCATGGGGCATCCCTGTTCCCATCACAGCCCCCACAGCAAGGACCCCTACAGCCTGGGGGTGCAGGGGGGGGTCTTACAGAGCACTGTGACGAAGGCTGAGGCAGAAGGCGGCTTCCAGAGCCCGTTGCTGGGGGTGCAGGTGTATTTCCCAGCGTCGTCCGGGGTCGTTCGCTGCAGCAGGAGGCTCCCGTCCACCAGGACACGCACCCGAGCCTGGAGGTGGCTGGGAAGGGATGGGACAGCGGTGAGTGGCACAGCTGGGACTGTCCCTGCTGCTCTGGGGTGATGGATTTGCCCCCACTACGCACCCAGCCTGGCCCTGGTATTAGGGGCCAGGTTTGAGGGGCACAGCAGCCCGGGTGCCACCCCCGTTCCTGCCATACCTGAGGTGGAAGACGTTGCTGCTGCCCTGGAACCAGGTGTAGGTGAGGTTCCCTGGGTATGCCTCAGCCTGGCACGCCAGAAAGGCATCTTGGGAGATGTTGACAGTGACGTTCTGGGGTGGCACCACGATGATGGGTGGCCCTGGGGTGTGGGGCAGAGGGGCAGTGAGGGCTGGCGACAGGGGACAGCTCCAGCTGCTCCCAACTCCAACCATACCACGGCTCCCTCTGTGTCCCCAGCCCACGGGGCAGGGCTGTCCTTACCCTGCACGAGCACACGGGTGGTGTGGGTGACAGTGCCCTCCTTGCTGGACGCGTGGCACGTGTAGGTGCCCGCGCTGGCGCGTTCCACGGCGGCGATGCTCAGCGTCCCGTTCCTCACCTGCAATGGCACCACCAAGGGACAGCGACATGAACGGCCTGGTGGCAGCAGGCAGGTGCCACCACAGTGGGCATGGGCACTTGCTCTAGAGCCAAGCACGAGACCCTGGCCACACCCCACGCAGGGGTGACCAGCGGTTTGTTGCCCTCACCTGCACCGTGTCCCCGCTCTGGACAGGAAGGTCACTCCTCTTCCAGGTGACAACAGGCTGGGGGTTGCCAACAGCCCTGCAGGTGAGGCTCAGTGCAGCCTGGTCCCGCACCTCTACGAACGCTGGGGGGGTCTCCAGGAAGGTGGGGGGTGCTGGAAGGCAAATCCAGATCCAAACCTAAAAATCTCAGTTGACATCTGGCTCAACTCAGTGTGCAAGCCCAGTGTCTCCAGTGCCAGCCCTGGGACACGTGGGCACAGCAGGTGAGGGTGGCAGGGGCCGGTACCGTTGACGGTGAGGTGGATCCAGGTGCCGTTCTGGAAGTCGGCGTCGGTGCTGTGCCGGTCGAGGAAGAGCACCCGGCACTCGTACCAGCCCTGGTCCTCGGCCCGCAGCAGGTCCAGGCGCAGCGAGGCACCTTCCTCCAGCCTCACACGACCTGCGTGCCCGGCAGCGGCTCAGGGACAGCGTCCTCGGGCCACCCCCTCCCCGGGACACCCCCACCCCAGGGACACCCTCTCCCCCGGTCGCGTTCTCCCGGGGCCATCCCCTCCCCGGGTCATGCCCTCCCCGGGGCCACCCCCTTCCCACGCTGGCACCACGGGGGGCTGGGGAACGGCGGTGCCAGAGGTTTGTCACCACGACGTTCAGCACTACACACATGGAGAGGAGGCGACAGTGGCTCTGTCACCCGCCCCCGTGGAGGGTGGCCTCCCCCAGCACGGCGGGTCCACGCACTTGGAGCATCGCTCCCAGCGGCCGGGCAGGACTGGTCCCACCGCCCCTGCAGCTGCACACCCCCCTCCCCCGACCTCTTTTCCCCCTTCCCCAGGACTCTTCAGCCACGGCTCCCTCCCCCTGGGAGCCCCCCCGGCGCTCTCACCCTTAGGAACCCTGCTAAGCCCCGGTACCCCCGCACCAACCCCGCGGCACGGGGGGATTCACGGTGAACCCCCACCCGCCTGGCAGGAACGAGCTCTGCAGCTCTTCGTGGGGACACGGTGACCGGGGCTCCCCCAGGCCGTGGGGTTCTCTCCACGCCCCGCGGCCTCTTTGATGAGGGGAAGGATAAGGGCCGAAGCGAGAGCGGGCGCAGCCCGTTAATCCCCCGGGCTATTATCAGAGCCATAATCGGCTCAGGGTGCAGCGGGCAATTGGCTCAGCCCAGGCGGGGGTGCGCAGCCAGCGGCCCCCAACGAACGCAGCAGCACCCACTGTCCCGGGCACCCCCTTCCCCGGGCACCCACTGTCCTGAGTACCCCCCTTCCCTGGGCACCCACTGTCCTGAGTATCCCCTTCCCTGGGTACCCACTGTCCTGAGTACCCCCTTGCCTGGGCACCCACTGTCCCGGCCACCCCCTTCCCTGGGTACCCACTGTCCCGGGCACCCCCTTCCCTAGGCACCCACTGTCCTGAGTACCCCCCTTCCCTGGGCACCCACTGTCCCGGGCACCTCCTTCCCTGGACACCCACTGTCCTGAGCACCCCCTTCCCTGGGCACCCACTGCCCTGACCACTCCCTTCTCCGGGCACCCCCTTCCCCGGGCACCCATCACCCCGGTACCCCCGGCACTGCCACCCCGGCCACCCCCAGCCCATGCCAGGTGACTTTGCTCCCGGGACACCACGGCAGGGACACAGCCCCAGCACCGCAAGCAGCAGAGCAGCTCACGATGCTCTTCCTATCAGCATGCCAGCACCAGCAGCTTCCCGAGGGGTTCCCAACACAGCAAGTTTTGGGGAACCCCGCTGCCAGCTCTACCCGGTGTCAGATTGTCCCCATGCACTGCCCGAGGCACCGCAGTCCCGGCTGGCACCGCACGGGCGCCGCTGGCAGCGGGATTGGGATTCCGTGCCCCGGGATTCCGTGTCCCGCCAGACGAGCCCGGCAAGGATGAGGATGAGGAGGAGGAGGAGTGGCAGGAGCCGGGCAGGCGGGTTTGGGCACCGAGATCCACCCTGAGCCGTGCGAACCCCGCACACAAACACGTGCAAACCCTTCCCACGGCGCCCAGAGCCGTCTGCCATCCCTCTGCCTTTCACCCCACAGCCGTGGGACGAGGGGTCCGCCAGCCCTCAGCCCAGAGCTGGCTCCCACGCCGGGCCCTGGGAAGTGGGACAGCTCTGGGAAGCTCTGGGAAGCTTTGGGAAGCTTTGGGAAGCCCGGCCCTGGCAGCAGCTGCCAGCCCCCAGCCCCAGGCGCGGCGGGAGCAGCCGGCTCCCGAACAAAGGTCCCTTTGGAAGGGATCAGAGTGGCCTGGGGACGCCCCTCAGCCTCCCCCTAATCCCTGTGTGCCGGCCCCAGCCCCCTCCTCCTCCTCCACCGCCCTGCAAAAACAAAACCCTGTGGCCCAGCATCCCCCCGCGCCTGGCAACCGACATTCAGCGGGACACAAAAGGGGAGGGGGGACACAAAGGGGGCTGCAGCCCCCGCCACGCGGCCAGAGCCGGGGAGGGGAGCCCGAGCCAGGCAAGAGACCACCGACCCTGCTCTAGGGCAGGGGACAGTGGCCCATGGCACCGTGGGTGGTGGTGGCACCCAGGGGAGAGCCGACCCCATCTCCCCAGGTGCTGTCACAGTTTGCAGCCCACCCTGTCCCCAGGACACCCCGGATCTCCCCAGGAGGGACACTGGTGACAGCAGCGGCCCCTCTGGGTGACACCTGATCTGATCCACCTGGGAAGCGCAGGAGAGAAAGGGGAGAGCATCGCCCTGCACCCACCGGCCCGGCCCTTCCCTGCGGATGGAAAACAAGCCAGCCCGCTGCCATGGCGACGGCCGCCAGCCCCCCTGCCCACCCAGCTCGCCCTCATTCCAGCCAGCAGCCCCTTCCCCCAGCCCTGATCCCAATCTGCTCCCGCAGCCCCCGGGGCCGCGCTGGCGGCGGGGACGAGGGGGACAACGGGGGAGGGGCTGCCAGGACACTGCCAGCCCCTTCCTGGGTAACTGGAGCTGCGGCAGCCCCGGGGCCTCTCGGCGCTCAGGTAACAGGAGCCCAGCCCAGCCTCCCGGGACTGCAGGTGCCTTGTCCTGGCCGGGGGGTTCGTTGTCACCGCTGGTCCCCCAGAGCCAACTCGGAGCTGCTGAAAGCGTCCCCAGGCGTCTCCCAAAATCCGAACCCTCCCGTCTGGCCAGGGAAAGGGGGGCAGGAGAGCGGGCGTCCCAACCGAGGCGATTTTTAGGCAGGGGACAATTTTGGTAGCGGAGTTTGGGTCGTGATCCGGGAATGATCCGGCCCCCCGAAGAAGGGTCGGAGCAGGGATTTCGGTGCGTGGCTGGCACAGAACATCGGGATTGGGCTCAGCCCAAATCACCCACGGGCTGCGAGCCGTCCCTATCCCCAAGGGACACTCCTGTGGCCTTCCCCCCCCCCTGCTCGCAGGGATCCTTTCGCTGGCATTCCTCTGGCTCTACCACCGCTCACTTTAAATACCCGCTAAAGCAGCGAATATCCCCCTCCCACGCCCAGCCCGTCCCCGGCCCAGCTTTGCTCCAATTAGCAGCTCCCCCGAAATCCCCTCCCCAGCCTCAACCTTCAGGCGACCCGCACGGGCCGAGGCAGCTCCCGCAGCCCCCGGCACGGGGCACCGGCCCGAGGTGACGCGGCCAGGGCAGTGCCGGGCACAGCACGCCAGGGGTGGGCTAGGGGGGGCTTCTCCCATATTTTACCCTGTGGGGGATCCCTCCTGCTGCCAGGCTGGGCAGGGATCTGCATCCCCTCTGCCAGCTGGGGACTCCCATCCCTCCTGCCATTCCTGGGGATGGGGATTGGGACTCACCTGCTGCAGGGACCTCCCTGGCCCCTCACCGTTCCCTCCCGTTCCCCAAGACCCCCCCACTTCCCCGGGAATGGGACTAAAGTGGTCCAACAGCACCAGAACCCGGTAGGTTAGGGAGTAGAGACACAGGACACCCCATGGTGGCCCCGGAACCCCCCGCCCGCCCCGTCCCCGCGACTCACCCGCGTACTCGGGGTCCACGCGCGGCGAGTAGAGCCCGAATTTGATGAAGATGGGGAGGACGAAGCCGAAGCGGACCCACTCGATCACGTAGAGCGGCGGGCGCGCCTCGTGTGCGCCCAGGAGCCCGCAGCCCAGCACCGCGCTGCCCCCGACGCGCCCCACCACGGCCCGGGGCTCGCTCCGGCCGCTGCCTGCGGGACCGGCACCGGGCCACGGTGAGACCGGACACGCCGGGATGAACCGGCATGGGGGCGGGACGGAACGGGACACACCGAGACCATTCCCGAACGCTCCCGCCCCCGCGGGACCCAGCGCTGACCGTTCCCACCGCGACACACCGGGACCTTCCTGCCGCCCCCGGAGCACCCCGCCACCGCTGTCCCCAGCTGTCCCCCGCCTCCTCCCGCCTCTCCCGGTCCCACCACCGGCCAGACCGGTCCCGCCGCCCCCCTCTCCGCTCCCCGGGGCGGCCCCTCACCCCCGGCTCCGGCGAGCAGGCTGAGGACGGCGGCGCGCAGCCACCACCGCATAGCCCAGGCCCCCCCTGCGGCGGCTCCCGCGGCGTCACCGGGGCCCGTGGACCGGCGGGCACGGCCGGGCAGCCCCGGGGGCACCGGCCCCGGGCGGGGGGCGCGGGGGGCTCCGCGTCCCGCCGCTCCTCATGCCCGGCCGGCCGCGCTCCGCTGCGCTCGGCTCTCCCCGGTTGCTTTCGGCTCTTTCCGGCTCGGTTCGGGTCCGTCCGGGTCCGCTCGGCTCCGGCCGCCGCCGCCGGGCGGCCGCAAACAAACCCGCGACGCCGGGAGGGGCCGCCCCGGCCACGCCCCCCGCCGCCCGTTGCCGCGGCGACAGCCAATCAGGAGCCGCCGCTGGGCGCTTCCCGATACAGCCAATGGCGGAGCGAGGCAGCGGGGAGCGAGGGGTGCTGGGAAATGTAGTACCCGGAGGGGGGGGGCAGGGGGCCAGGGGACGTGTGGGGTTACACGGAGGGATATGGGGGGGAAAGCGAGGGGGACATGGGGAGACACATGTGGGATCACGGGTGGAACCGGGGGAGGCACGGGGAGGGACACCTAGAGAGAGGACAGGAGTGGGACACACGTGGGACATAGGGTGGGACACGGGGAGGGAACAGGGAGGGACTGGAGAGGACACGCGAATGAAAAACACAGGGGGGGGATATGGGGACACGAAGGGGACACATGGGTGGGATATGGGGACACACTGGTGGGACTGAGGCAAGCCAAGGGGGAAACACATGGGTGAGACACATGGTGGGACTGAGGAGGGATGGGGGGACACAGGCGGTCATGAGTAGGACACAGAGGTGACACATGGGTAGGACACACGTGTGGGACACATGGAGGAGACTGCTGGGGGACACACGAGTGGGACACCAAGGTGGGACCATGGAGGGGACACAGATGGGACCATGAGTAGGACATGCAGGTGGGACAAGGCAGGAAAACACTCCTGGGACACAAGTGGGATGAGAGGACACAGATGGGATACAGGGGTGGGACTGTGCTGGGTCAAAGAGGGGACACACGGGTGGGACATGGACAGGACACGTGGGTGGGCATTGCTGTGGGGTTTGGGGTTTGTGTGATCCCCCCATGGGACACAGGGACAGGTGGATGGCACTGGGGGCTGTGATAAGCAAGCCCGGCTCCATGTCCCCTGTGTCCCCTCTGTGCCAGCACTCCCTGCTTGCCCTTCCCCATCCCAGCTCCTGCTCTCTAATCCCATCCTAAATGTGTCCCCACACGGGGACAGCCACCGGTGCCATGTCCCCATCTCACGGGCTGAGCTGGAGCTGGGCCACTCGCCAGGCCGGAGACACAAAAGGGGACAGAGGGGACAGAGGGGACAGAGGGGACATCCTGGTGGTATCCCCAGCGCAGAGCTGGGATTGAGGGACTCGCAAACCCCACACGTGTGACACCAGCCCGGCCACACGGGAGCCCGGGGAGTGGCACTGGGGTGATGCCCCCCTTGGAGGGGGTGGGGGGTCTGCAGAGCCCCCCCCCCCAGCCCGGCCTGGCCCCCTGAGCCCGGGGGACTCTGAGGACAGCGTGGAGTCAGCGGAGTTAAGGGCAATAATTCTGCCATAAGCAGCTTTCGGCCGCTCGGGCCCATGTGCTCCCGTGAGCTTAGGCTGGACATCGCTGTCCGGCATTGCCACCGCGGCCACAGCGTCCCCACCGTGTCCCCACTGTCCCCATGGCAGCCCCCACGCAGGGCTGGGCACCCCAAACCGCCTGTGCCCCACACACGTGCCCCCCACACGGCCCCGTGCGCTGGTGTGGCCTCACTGTGTCATCACTTGGGGGACATGGGTGTCACCAGAACCCCACCAGGGGCACCAGGGGCAGCTGTGCAGCCCCGGGGTTTTGGAGTGACCCCACACCCTGTGGTGAACCCCCTTCCCAATTCTGGTCACATCTGGGCAGGGCACAGCTGGATTGCCAGCGGTGGCCCGTGTCACCACACCGGTGTCACCACCCCAGTGTCACCACCCCGGTGTCACCACCCTGGCGCCTTGTACCCCTAGGGAGGATGGTGACATTGTGGCGTTCCAAAGGAACTTTTGGGGACCCTGGAGCTGCTGTTTGAGGCGCTGGCTCCAGCTGTGCCCAGGGCGCTCCCAGCCATGTGCCACCCGCCCAGAAACGGGGACGGTGACACTGCTTCCAACCGGGATTTAAATGCCACCAAGGTTAGGAGCAGCTGAGAAGAGATTTCCAGGATTGGATTTTTGGATGGAGATGCCTCAATTCCGGCTAAGCTACACTTTAAGCATCAACGTCCCGGGTCGGCCCCCGGGCGCTGACACGGTTGTCACCCTCCACGTGGCAGCAGGGCGCTGGCGGGTGACAGCCCCAGGGTGCTCTGTGGGGCCGAAACGTGGCTGCTTGTGGTCCCTGAAGGACCCCAGAGCCAGAACCACCCTAGAGCCGGGATCCCATGGGACCCTAGACCCAGGACTCCAGAACCAGGACCCTGAGGAACCCTAGAGCCAGGAACCGGAGCCAAGAGCCCAGATTTGGGACCCCAAAGCCGAGGCCCCAAAGCCAGGACCCAGAGCTGGGAACCCAAAGCCAGGACCCAGAGCCAGGAGCCCAGAGCTGGGACCCAAAATGACCCCAGAAGCAGGACCCTGAGAGACCCCAGAATGAGTATCCCAAAGGATCCCAGAGCCAGAACCCAGAGTTGGGACTCCAAAGCCAGGACCCAGAGAGCCCCCAGAGCTGGGACATCAAAGGATCCCAGAACCAAAACCCTGAGAGACTCCAGAGCCATGATCCTGGAACCAGGACCCTGAGGGACCCCTGAGCCAGGATGCACAGCTAGGGCCCCAAAGCCAGGACTCCAACACCAGGATCCAAGCAAGGAGCCAAGAGCTGGGAACTCAAGGGACCCCAGAGCCAGGACAACTGGGACCATGAATGACCCCAAAATCAGGGCGCTGAAGGAGCTCAAAGCTGGGATCCAGAACCAGAACTCTGAGGAACCCCAAACCCAAGGGACCCCAGAACCGAGACCCCAAATCCCAACCAAGCCAGGTCTGTTGGTGCCCAGCAGAGCCATGGCCAGGCATCCCCCCAATGTGTACCCCAAAACCAGACCTGGAGAGAAGCCACAGGCCAGTCCTTTAATGCAGGAGGGAACAGACGGGGCTGGGAACTCCCAGCACTTTGGGGTGCCCAATTCCACGATCCCATCCACGTGCTCAGGTCTCCTCGCCAGTGCTGTGGAGGGGCAGATGAGCCAGGACTGGGGACATCTGGGAGCCACAGCTGGGGGAGGTGACCCCCATGGTGACAGGGGACCCCGGGGAGGGTGACACCTACCGCAGGCACTGGCAGAAGCGGATCACGGCCTGCTCCTGCTCCGCAGTCTCGATGGAGCCGGGCCGGAGCCGCCGGATCTCGCGGATGGCGTCAGCGCCGGCCAGGTGCTGCTCCTTGCACAGGTAACAGGCCAGCAGGGTGCCAGTCCGGCCATGGCCCAGCATGCAGTGAACTGCCACAGCCTGGGCACGGGGACACGGAGGGTGGGTGGCACTGCCAGACCCCCCCAGCGTCACTCCCTGGGTGACAGGCGATGCCCGCTTTGGCACTGCCTTCATGGAACCTGGTGTCACCTTCTCTCACCTGCTCCCCTCATCCTCCCAGGTGTCCCCTCTCGAAGTGTCAACCCTCTAAGATGTCACACACACCCTACCACAGGACCACAGGTGTGTGTTCCCCTCCACGTGTCTCCCTTCCAAAGTGTCATTCCTCAAGTCATGTCCCTCCCCAACTAAGTTGCCATTCCCCCAAGATGTCATCTCTCCACACGGTGTCCCCCACCAAGGTGTCACCTTGCCAAGATGTCAGCCCCTCCAAAGTGTCCCCCACCACCAAGGTGCCATCCTTCCAAATGTCCCTCCTCAAGGTGTCCCTCCCCAAGTATCTCCCCTCCTGAGGTGTCACCCCCTCAAGGTGCCACGCTGCTGAGGCCTCCCCCCACCAAGATGCCACACCCTCGAGGTGTCCCCCCCCACCAGGTGTCCTCGAGATGTCTTCCCTAGTTTTCCCTCCCTCCTTCTGGTGTCTTCCTCCAGGTATCCCCCTAGATTTGCCACCACCCCAGTTTCTCCCAGTTGCCATCCCCAGGTGTCCCCGCAGTTGTCCTCCAGGTATCCCCCAAGTATCCCAGGTGTCCCCCAGATGTCCCCGGCCATACCTCCCCGCGACTATTAGCCTCCTCCACGATCTGCAGGAAGCTCTGGATCTGCTCGGGGCTCGGGGGGGTGAAGTCGGGCACTCGGAGCCGGTGGAGCTGGATTTGGGGACAGCAGCCGTGGTGGGGCGGGGCCCGCTCGCTCAGGGACACGAGGTGCCGCACTCCGTGCTCCCGCAGGTACCGATAGTGCCCTGGCTCCCGCGGCATCGCCAGCCCCGCCAGCCGGCCTTCCACCACCCACGAGAAGTTGGGGGGCTTGGATGCACCCATGGCCTGTGGGGACAGGGGACACTGCTGAGATGGGGACCCTGTGCGAGCCAGAGCCCTGGGACAGCATTGCTGGGACCCCCAGGGCAAATCCCCTTGGATCCCCCAGGTCAGGACCCACAGGAACCCCAAACCAGAGTCCTCAGGTCAGGACTCCTGGAACCCCCATTTTGGACCCCCAGGTCAGGACCCACAGGAGCCCCAAACCAGAGTCCCCAGGTCAGGACCCCTGGGACCCCCATTTCAGACCCCCAGGTCAGGATCCACAGGAACCCCAAACCAGAGATCCCAGGTCAGGACCCCTGGGACCCCCATTCTGGACCCCCAGGTCAGATCCCCTGGGATCCCCTGGCCAGCCCCCCCATCAGGTCAGAACCTTGGGGCCCCCATTTCAGATCCCCACACCTCCCAGTAGCACCCCCCAAAAACACGGCCAGGACCCCCAGTTCAGGCCCCCAGGACCCCCTGGCCGTGACCCCTGGGACTCACAGTTCAGATTCCCTGGGATCCCATGCCCAGGACCCCTAGGTCAGAGCCCCCAGGTCAGGACCTCCAGGACCCCCAGGAGAACGTGGCCAGGCCCCAAAATCAGGTCCCCAGAGACCCTCAGTTCAGGCCCCCAGGACCCCCAACACCCCCTCCCTAGTAAATGTGGCCAGGCCTCCAGGACCCCCAATACAACCCCACCCCTCCCAGAGAACATGGCCAGGCCCCCTGGGACCCCCAGTTCAGTCCTGGGACCTCCTGACCAGGCCCCCATGGCCCACAAGGTCAGACTCCCTGAGACCCCCATCTCAGGACCCCAGACCCCGTTACCACCTCCCCAGGACCCCTGAGACCCCCAATTAATGCCCCCCAACACCAACCCCTGGAGAACACGGCCAAGCCCCCATTCAGGCCCCCGGGACCCCCATCTAAGACCCCTCAAGTCAGGCCAGACCCCAGAGAGATCATTGCAGGGACCCCCAGCTCAGGCCCCCAGACCCCCCAACACCATCTCCTTGGAGAACCCAGTACCACCCCAAAAACCTCCTGGCCAGGACCCTTGGGACCCCTAAATAAAACCTCCAGACCCCCAGCTCGGACCCTGTCCATCAAAAGCCCTGCCCCCCAAAACCAACCCCCTGGAGAACCCGTCCAGATCCCCAGGACCCCCCAGGACCCCCAGACTCCCCATTTCAGACCCTCTATCTCCGACCCCCCATGTCAGGACCCCCAAAACCACATCCTGGAGAACGTGGCCGGGGTATCCCAAACTCCCCTGCATCCCCTGGCCAGGACTCCAAAATAAAGCCCTCAGACCCCAAATTCAGACCCCTAATTGAGACCCCCCATGTCAGGACCCCCAGTTCCCCCTCAGGCCCCAAATTCAGACCCCGCAATTGGGATCCCTCATGTCAGGGCCCCCAGTTCCCCCTCAGGCCCCAAATTCAGATCCCCCACTTGAGACCCCCATGTCAGGACCGCCAGTTCCCCCTCAGACCTCAAATTCAGACCCCTCATGTCAGGGCCCCCAGTTCCCCCTCAGACCCCAAATTCAGCCCCCCGGGACCCCCGTGCAGCACCCCCGGGCCCAGCTCGGGCCTCCCCCGGCCCCACAGGCCGCAGCTCCGGGCCCCGCTGGGCCCCGCTGGGCCCCGGCCCCGCTCCGCTCCCCGCTGTCCCCCCGGCCCCGCCGTACCGGGAAGAGCTCACGGGGCGGAGCGAGGCCGGGCCGGGCCTCGGCTGGGCCGGGCCGGGGCGGAGCGAGGCCGGGAGAGGCCGCACAGAGCGATGGAGGCGGCGCGGACGGGCCGGGGGTGACATGGGGGACAATGGGGGCATGGGGAGAGTGGGGATATGGGGGGAGAGTGGGGATATGGGGGAGAATGGGGACACAGAGGAGAATGGGGGCATGGGGGGAGTCGGGGGGACAGGGCTGCGGGGCCGCGCTGAAACACAGGGCTTTGGGACACGGGCTGTGGGACTGGGGGGCTGAACCCCCCGGGATAGGGGGCTGAGCCCCTCGGGGCTCTGGGACTGACCCCTTGGGGACACGGGATTGTCACCCCAGAGCTCTGGGACTGATCCCTTGGGGACACGGGATTGTCACCCCAGGGCTCTGGGACTGACCCCTTGGGGACACGGGATTGTCACCCCAGGGCACTGGGACTGACCCCTTGGGGACACGGGATTGTCACCCCAGAGCTCTGGGACTGACCCTTTGGGGACACGGGATTGTCACCCCAGGGCACTGGGACTGACCCTTTGGGGACACGGGATTGTCACCCCAGGGCTCTGGGACTGATCCCTTTGGGACACGGGATTGTCACCCCAGGGCTCTGGGACTGACCCTTTGGGGACACGGGATTGTCACCCCAGGGCTCTGGGACTGATCCCTTTGGGGACACGGGATTGTCACCCCAGAGCTCTGGGACTGACCCCAGGGGCTGCAGGACATGGGGCTGAACACCTCAGGACCCCAGGACTGCACCAGTGGGACACAAGGCTGGACACCTTGGATATATGTGGGACACGGGGCTGTAGGGCTGAATCCCCAGGATACAGAGCTGGAACCCCCAGAGCTCTGGCTCTGAATCCCCCAGGATATGGGACTGTGCCCCACCAGGACATGGGGCTCTGGGACTGAACCCCCAGGGACATGGGACTGAACCTCCCTGAGCTTGGGGACACTGGGCTGTCCCACGGCTGCCCCCCAACAGTCCTGCCCCCCTGGGTTCTGCCCCAACCCTGGCCTCACCGTGCCTGGGGGCTGCCAGGGGTGCACATACCCCCTGTCCCTGTCCCCAACTCAGCCCCATGTCCCCAAACCAGAGCGAGACCCTGGGCTGGGAGCCCTTCCCCCCTTTCCTCCCTCACCCTAAGGAGCTTCTGAGCCTGGATCCATCACCTGAGGCCCGCAGTGCTTTGGTGGGTCTCAACTTACTCCCCCATCCCCAAAGACAACCAACACCATAAAACCCCATTTCTCCATTTATGTGACGTTGGGTGGTTTTGGGAGGGAGAGGTTGTTACACAGCAGGGATTGGGGATATCCCCCCACAGCCTCAGGGCTTCAGGTACACCTCGCCCACGATTCTGTAGAGGAAGTTCCTCCAGCCGAAGATGGGGGTTTGGATGGGGCTGTCGTTCATGGCCGCCCTCACCTCCGAGTTGGAGATCCCCGTGTCCCACATGTACACGGATGAAATCTCCCCCACAAAGGACTGCGTGGCATCGAAGCCACCCCCAAAGCTGTCCTGGTCCTGTCCCAGCAGGATGTAGGCTGGCACTCCCACCGTGTAGCCGTTCTGCAGCCCCTTCCTTGGCCAGGGCTTCCCGTTGAACCAGAACCCCACGATGCCAGTGGAGGATTCCCAGCTGAAGCAGACGTGCTCGCTCTCCCCCACAGTTATGGGCACCGTGAAGTACAAGGCCTTGTCCCCCACCATGAGCTCATACTGACCGGGTTTGGGCTTGAAGAGCAGGATCTCGTTGCTGTGTGTTTTGGTGGCGTAGGAGAAGAGGCTGTAGGGCCGGGTGAGGTCGGTGAAGGACCTCAGGCACACGGTGAAGTTGTGCAGGGGCTGCACCAGCTCCAGCAACACCTGCACGTGGGCGGTTTTGGACTCTTGGGGGAACACGAACGCCGAGCCACTCAGGTCTGGGAGAGGCGAGACAGAGGTGGCTGCTCCAGCATCAGCCTCAGCCCCCAGGGTGGGCGCCACCACCACCGGCGGTGGCACAGAGTGACAGGGAAAGCTGCGTGTCCCCAGCTGTCCCCTCCCTACCGTTCATCCACAGGGTGTAGCTGGCCACAGCCCTGCCCTGGGTGCTGGTGACCGTGCAGGTGTAGGTGCCCACGTGGGTTTCGTTGAAGGAGTGGATGAGCAGGATGCTGTAGGGGCCTTTCTGCAGAGGAACTGGGCTTCCTTCCTTCTCCCACAGGAACTCCTGGGGGCTGCACCGGGCCGGGGTCACTCGGGGGTGGGCAACACAGAGGGCCCGGCTGGGAGGGAGGAGGGAGGGTAGGGGGCCTCACCCATGGTCGCTGGTGGCTTCACAGATCAGCATCAGATGGTGGTACTTGGTGGGTGCCGGTGGCTGCGCCCAGATCTTGATCTTCATTGTTTCTGCAGCACCCAGAGCTCAGCCTGGGCTGGGGGGGGTCTCCCTGTCCCGCTGTCCCTGCCTGTGGGACCCCCTTGTCCCTGCCGCCCCCCACTGCTGTCCCCCCATTTCAGTCCTCGGGGTTCCCCCTTTGGGCTCTCACTGTGCTGCCATCGTGTCCCGTCCTCCCACCCTTGCCAAGACCCCTGTGCCCCCCTCACGATGAGTGGGGTGTCCCTTTAATGGCACAGCTACTGTGGTTCCCCCTGCACTGCTCTGTGGCCCCCTGTCCCCTCTTGCAGAGCTCGGGGTGCCCCTTTCACTGCAGTTACTGTGGGATCCCCCATTCCCCCCTTTGCCCCCTTATGGAGCACTCAGGGTGCCCCACTGCCCCCATAAACCTCCCCCGCACGTCCCTGTGCCCTCCTCTGCACCCCCCCTTTCCGCATGTCCCCAAGGGAGGGTCCCGGTGTCACCCCGCCCCTACCTTGGGCGGCCGCGGGGCCAAGGAGGGCAGCGAGGATGAAGAGGCAGAGCCACAACCGCCCCATGGGACCTCCGAACCCGGCCACTGTCACCACCGTGGGAATGGGGGACCTCGGAGACACCCGGAGCCGCTCAGTGGACACCCAATGGTGACAGTGACTTTTGTGGTGACAATGACCTTCGTCCTCAAGCCCCGGGGCTATTGAGCAACCAGCCTGAGCTCGGGGATGGGCTTTGGGGACAATGCTCCTGTCCCCAAGGGAGGGACTTTCCCATTCCTGACTCCATGGGCAGCGTTGGAGCCGCTGGATTCGTGTCCTGCCCGTGCAGGGACGGCCGTGGGGCAGCTCGGGGGGCGTGGGAAGGGGAATGGGTGCCTCGGGTGTTGGCACCCAGGAAAAAAAAAAAAAAAATCCTCAGCTGGGGAACCTTCCTCACCATGGGCTGTAGAGGTGAAAGGGTGCTGGGTGATGGGGAGATGGGGGTGAGTGATGGGGGTGAGGAGGGGGACAGGGCGACCGAAGCCACTCCTGCCCCAGACCCCACCGCCCTCAGGCCCCCAGCGCCTCCCGGAGCCGGGGTTTCACCACCACATCTCCCTTCACCTCGTAGCTGAGGCTCTTCCAGGCCAGCAGGGCGGGCGGCAGGCGCAGGGACAGGAAGGCTGCGCGCATCTTATCGGGGGACAGCCCCGTGTCCCACAGGTAGACGTCGGTCAGCTCCCCCGAGAAGGAGTTGTAGAGGTCGAAGCCGCCCCCGAAGCTGTCCTGCTCCTGCCCCAGCAGGATGGCAGCCGTGGCCGCCACCGTGTAGCCCCTCTGCAGCCCCTTCCTCGGCCAGGGCTTCCCGTTGAGCCAGAACTCGGCGATGCCGGTGGCGGATTCCCAGCTGGCACAGACGTGTTCCCAATCCCTGCGGCTGTCGGGGACACGGAAGGTGACGAACTTGCCCCCCACGTAGAACCGGTACTCCTCGGGTTTGGGCTTGAAGAGCAGGATCTCGTTGTCCTGGGCTTTGGTGGCGTAGGAGAAGAGGCTGTGGGGCCGGCTGAGGTCGGTGTAGGAGCGCAGGCACACGGTGAAGTTGTGCAGGGGCTGCTCCAGCCGCGCCCGCAGCACCACGTAAGCGTCGCTGGGATCCTTCCTGAACACGAACACCTTTCGGTACAGGTCTGGGGACAACAGAGGGGACGTGGTGGGAGGTTGGGGTGTCCCACAGCCCTCTCTGACTGTCCCCGAGCCTTCCGCTGTCCCCCCCGGGGTGACTCCGTGCTCCAGCATCCTCCAGTCCCGCTGACCGAGAGCGAGCCGAGAGCTGCTGCCACGTCCCCTCTGCACCTTCCCCTCCCTGTGCTGGATCCTGTCCCCCCACCCCGATGTCCCCCCTACCTTCCTGGGCCACGATCCCCGCGAGCCCGGCCAGGACGGGCAGCCAGAGCTGCAGGTGGCCCATGGTGGCTGCTGGAGTCGGGCGGGAGCGGCGCTGCCGCCGGGTTTATGTGCCCGAGGGTGGGAGGGGACAGGCGGGGGGATGTGTCCCCCCAGTGCCATCCTCAGCAGCCTGGCGTGCCCGCGAGGGGCGATTTCATGCCCAGGGTGGGTGATTTCATGGCATCACGCGGCCGTGCCACAAGACTTTGGGTCACCCGCCTGCACGGGGCTCTCCTTGGAGCTGAGCCCTGGGCGTATCACCCCCTCGGGTGACAGGGACATCTCAGCCATGAGCTCACTTGGGTGACAGGGACACCCCATCCATGAGCCCACCCGGGTGACAAGGACACCTCAGCCGTGAGCTCACCCGGGTGACAGGGACACCTCAGCCATGAGCTCACCTGGGTGACACGGACACCCCAGCCATGAGCTCACCCGGGTGACAGGGACACCCCAGCCGTGAGCCCACCTGGGTGACAGGGACACCCCAGCTGTGAGCCCACCCGGGTGACAAGGACACCTCAGCCATGAGCTCACCTGGGTGACAGGGACACCCCAGCTATGAGCTCACCTGGGTGACAGGGACACTCCTTCCCCAAGTGTCCCTGCTCTGGGCAAACCCCCGTGGGAGGGACCTGGTTTGATTTGGGTGCAGGGAAAGGTACCCCTGGCCCCCCTGCCCTGACCCACAGCTCTGGGGCACATCCCGGGCTCTGCCCTCCCTGTCCTGCCGAGGGGACACAGATGGAGCCGTGGACACCGAGTGGCCGAGTGTCCTGGGCTGACCATGGTCTGGGGGTCCCAAGGGGACAGGCAGGTGGGAAGGGGGAAGGTTTTCCCAAATGATGGTGCTGGGGGTGTAGAGTCCCTGCAGGGCTTTGATGGATCCCCAGTTTTGGGGACGATTCCCCATCGATCAATCCCGCAGTTTGGCGGGGATGAGCCCCCAAGTGCTGCAGGGCTTGGCTCAGGCAGAGCAGCCCCATTGTCCCCCCGCTGCCGTGGCTGTGTCACACCCCGTGACTGCACGCGCCCGTCCCTCGTGGGCTCTGACCCCCTGCTCCTGGCAGCCTGCACAGCTTCCTCAGGAACTTTTCCTGCCAATTTGGAGGCACGAGGAGCACACATCCCGCATTTCCCGTCCTCCCCATCACCGCCCAGTCCCATCCAGTTCATTAACTGGGCTGGACGAGCGCCCCTGGCAGTTGTGTTTATTGTGTGCAATTCCCACTGCATCCTCTTGGCTTGTCAGAAGAGACGGAAAAAATCCGGTAACTCCCGAAATCTCCCCCTGGAGCTGGGGGGAAGGGGCCGGGGTTGAGTCTCGGAGATCCCCCAGGATCCTGGGGTGACCCCCCCCGGGCAGCCTGAGGCACCCCAGGGCTTTCTGCATTGGGCAGTCGGGGGGTCCGGCCGCAAAGAGGGGGCTGAGACCCCAAGGGAGGGGTCAGAGGGTGGAGGGCACCGAGCCAGGCATAGAACGGGGGGTCCTGGGGGAGTGTAGGGTGTGGGACAGAGGCTGTGGGGTTGGGAGGGCACTGTGGGGCCAGGGCTCAGTGCCCAGGGGTCAGTGCCTAGGGGCAGTGGCGACTGCTGGGCAGCCCGGGGTCGGTGCCAGGGGGCCAAGCCTTGTGCCTGGTGGTCCGTGCTGGGGGTCCAGGGGTCAGTGCCGAGGGCTAGAGACGGTGCCCAGGGGCCAGGAGTGAGTGCTGGATGTCCCGGGCCGGTGTGGGATGGGGCGGGGGGCCAGTGGTGAGGACACAGGGACTGATCCTGGGGAGCCAGAGGTCAGTGCTGGGGGGCCAAGGTTGGTGCCCAGGATCCAAGGTCCGGTTTCAGGGAGCCAAGTCTGGTGCCGGGGGTCCAAGTCCAGTGCCAGGGGACCGGGGCTCAGTGCCGGGGGTCCAAACCCGGTGCCAGGGGGCCGGGGCTCAGTGCCGGGGGTCCAAGCCCGGTGCCATGGCTCCGTTTGGCTCCTCGGTGCAGCCCCCGGAGCTCAGCAGTCGCCGGCAGCGCCAGGCGAGCAGCAGCACCAGGGGCCCGAGGCCGCAGTGCAGCACCCCCAGCCCCTCGCTGAACCCCAAGGCCAGGTCGAAGTTCTCGAAGGAGCCGCAGGTGGGCTCCAGCAGCCCGGCCTGCAGCAGGAACTCCCCGGCCAGCCCCGCTCCGTAGGGCACCCAGAGCCCCGGGAAGAGCCAGGTGAGGCCGGCTCCGGCCGCCCAGCTCGCCCTGAGGCGCGGCACGGCCAGCGCGGCCAGCAGCAGCCCCGCGGGCAGCAGCAGCAGCAGGCACAGGCTCAGGGTCAGGTGCAGCAGGTAGGCCGGTGCCAGGATGCCCACGCTGCGCCGGACACAGGCGGTGCCCTCTGCCACGCCACTGACCAAAGCCGCCGGCGTGGCCAAGAGCAACGCCACTGCCCACAGAGCCACGGCCAGGCGGCGACTCCGCGGGTCCCAGCGAGCCCAGGCGGTGCCACAAGAGCCGCTGGCCACCAGCAGCGCCTGGGCGAACAGGCTCCAGTGCCACACGAGGTGCGTGAGGCGACACGGCCCCGTGCCCAGGTGCCAGCCCCAGGCGATGCCCGCGGCCAGCGCCGGCAGCAGAGCGGCGAACAGCGCCGTGCCCAGCGCCAGCTGTGCCAGCAGAGCCCGGCTCTGCGGCCACCGCCACGCCTGGGGACGCTTGGCCAGGGCCACCAGCAGGGCACCGGTGGCCAGCGCGGCCGCGGCGCAGGTGGTGGCCAGGAAAGGGGGAGCCACTCGCTGGAAGAGGGGACAGAAGTGGTTGTGGCAGGGGGCGGCGTCGTAGTCCACGAAGGTGTCGTTGCTGTCGGTGTTGTCGTAGTAGACGGAGAAGTCGCCCATGATTTCCTCCAGGTTCAGGGAGCCCGGGGTCTCCAGGGTGCCGGGGGTCTGAGGATGAGGAGCACGGGAATCATCCCTCAGCATCCCCCTGGTGTGTGGGGATCCCGGGCAGCCCCGGGCCGGGCTGAGCAGGGCGGGTTTATCAGCCAGGGACACGCTGCGGGCACGGGGGGGACATCGCTGGGGACAGCCGGGGGTGGGAACGGGGCCGTTTGCTCAGAGGAGGGACCCGGAGCCCTGTGGGAGGATACAGAGCCCGGAGGGTGGGCACAGACCCCGGAGGGTGAGTACAGACCCCGGAGGGTGAGTACAGACCCCCGAGGGTGGGTGCAGACCCCCGAGGGTGGGTGCAGACCCCACAGAACCTCCTGTAAGGGAGAACTTGGGTGCAGCACCTGCTGTGAGCCGCGGTCCTGCTCAGCACCAGGGACCCCCCATGATCCCGCTCAGAACTGGGGACCTTCACAGCTCTGCTCAGTGCTGGGCACTCCTGTGACCCCACTCAGCACCAGGGACCCCCCAAACACTACTCAGCAATGGGGATCCCCCCAAACCCCACTCAGCACCAGGGATCCCTGTGATCCTCCTCAGCACTGGGGACCCTCATACTCCTCCTCCTCCTCACAGAGGACCCCCAGCTCAACCCCAGCCCCCCCACCACGTGCCCCCAACCCTCTCCTCCATGGGGATGTGACACCCTCGGGCAGCAGCGACAGGAATTGGGGGGGGTGTCACTCACCACGGGGACACAGTTGCCCATGACGAATTTCCCACGACGGCAGCGACTCCTTTGAGTCTGGGGGCTCCTTTGGGTGCTAAGGGGTGGCACCCAAGGCTCGGGGGTGCCTGGAGGTGCCCGGGGGTGACTTTTCCGCTCTCCCTCCCTCGGCTCCGCTCCTCCCGCTCCAAAGGGAGCCAAGGGCTGCGGGCAGGAGATAAGAGCTGCCCCCAGAGCCGCCCTCCCGCCCGGCACCCGGCGGAAAACAGGGAATGCCGCTGCCGGGAAAAACAGCCGAGCTGCCACAATTTCTCGAGCAGGAAACGATCAATTCGTTCACGACAGGATGAGTTAAATTAATTAGGAATTGTCTTTTCCATGCAGCGCGGAGCTGCATCCCCGGGGATGCCGGTGGGGTGTGAGCCTGGTGCCAGGTCCAGGGAGGGGTTTGGGGGCACTGAGGGGGCCCCGCGGTGCCTTCCTTTGCCTCTGGAACACAAAATTCTCCGGCTTTTCCTGGCGAGGAAGGAAGGGCTGCACCCTGGGGGTCATCCTGTGGCATTGGCATGGGCTGGTGGCCTTGGTGGCCTTGAGGTTTAATGGGAACATCCCTGGAGAAGAGCAGGGCTGAGAATTCCAGAGCTGGGAATTTGGGGTCTGGTGGTAATTTGGGAGGGGCTGGGGGGGGCAGGAGGATATTTGGGTGTCAAAGGGCTGGGGTGGGGGTCTGGGAGGTGACAATTTGGGAGGGGCTGTGGAGCAGATTTGGGGTGAAAGGCCTGGGGATCACCTGGGAATTGGGGAGGGCTGGGAATTTGGGAGGGGCTGAGGGGCAGCTTTGGGAGTCCCCAGGGCTTGGGATTGGGGGTTTATTGCTCTTTTGGGGAGAACTGGGAATTTGGGAGGGGCTGAGGGTCAGGACTGGGGGGCTCTGGTGGCTCTGGGAGGGGAATCTGGGAATTGGCAATTTGGGGGGGAGTGAGGGGCAGATTTGGGGGTGAAAGGGTTGAGGAGGAATCTGGGAATTGGCAATTTGGGAGGGGCTGAGGGGCAGATTTGGGGGTGAAAGGCCTTGGGGATCTCTGGGGGTTGGGATTGGGGTTATTGCTCTTTGTGGGGAGGTGCTGAGGGTCAGGATCTGGGGGACTGTGGTGGCTTTGGGATGTCCATGGTGGGCTGAGGGAGGGCAGCTGCAGTTTGGGGGCTCAGGGGAGGTTTGAGGGGGGCTGAGCTCTTGGGGCTCAGCCTGTCCCCTGCCCCACACACCCCCTCCCCAGCTCCCCCTGAACCCCCCAACCCCCAGAGGCAGAGAGCCAGGCAGGTAAGGTGTGTAATCCAGATATATTTATAGGATTATTTTCCGAGATTAGCACAGGATATTAGAAAGGTTATAAAGTCACATCGACGGTCGTTGGCTCCCTTTATGTACAGACAAAAACACAGCACAACAACACAGCCCAGCCTCTGCCCCCCGGCCTCTCCAGAGCTCCCCAAAATATGGCTTTCGTGTCTATTGAGAGTTCAGTGGCTGCAGCCACCAGGGGGGTCCCGAGTCCTCCTCGCCCACTTCGAATTCTCCCAGCCCAACCCCGTGACTGGGTGGGTGTGGGGCCACCAACGAGGAGCTGTTGGTGGCCTGGGCTCTCCCAGACACGGTGACACCGACCCTGCCACCCTTGGTGTCACACTCGGCTCTGCTCTGCTGTCACAGAATCCCGTGGCACCTCTCGGGTGTCACCAACCCCCGAGGGGATGAGGACGGGGGGGGGGGTCACACCCCACCCTGTCACCCCGACATCACCTGCATGTCCCCCGGGCCACCCAGCTCCTCTGGCCAGCTGTGACGTGGGGTGTCTGTCACCCCCAAGGACCCCACACAGAGACCCCAAAAGCGCCTTTCCCACACCCCCCACCCCAGCCTGGCTCACCAGGGACTCGCTCTCACCACGAGGCTTCTCCACCGTGTCCCAGCCACAGCTCCCACCCGGAATCCTCCCAGGTCAGGAGGGTCCCCGTGACCCCTCCCTGCTCACGCTGCTGTGACCCGGTGTTCCTGTCACCCCCCCAGGTGTGACACAAATCTCCTGCACCGCTCCCACCTCCACCCAACCCTTTGGCTCCTGCTGCCGGATGGATTCTCTGTCCCCTCCCAGCCTCTCTCCGTGACCTCAGCACGTCCCCAGGTCCCCCCAGGTGACACCGGGCCCACCCTCCACGACACCTCCGCAGGTCCCTGCCACACCCCACACCACGCGGCACCTCAAAAACACCAAAAAAACACCAAAAAACACCAAACCCAGGCTGTTCTCCCCGGCACCTCGGAGCGGCTCTGGAGCAGTGGAACCAGCGAGAAACTGAATTCCCAGAGGGAAAAGCCCTCGCTGTCCCTGTCAGCTCCCACCTCCCTGCCCCAGGCGCCCCTTTCCCCACTCCCCTGCCAGCTCCTGGTGCTGGGGGCTCTGCCTGGGACCCCTCCAGCCCCCCAGGGACAGGGAATTGTCCTTGAGGACGCATCTGGGTGTTCGTATTTGCAGGAATGACTCGGTTGTGGGGACCTCAGTGATGGCAGCAGCATCCTCAGGGTTCATCCTCGGGCTCAGAGCTGCCCTGGGGGCTCCAGGCCCACATTCCCCACTCCAAGAGGTGGGAAGGGAGGAAAAACACCCCAAAAAACGGCTGTGCCCAGCAAAGGAAACCCCCAAAGGCTCCGTGTGCTGCTCCCTCCCAGAGCTGACGGCGCTCCTGACGTGTGGCTGAGCCACGGCAGCCTGGTCACATCTGCAGTGTCCCCAAGGTCCCCTCCCTCACTCCCAGAGCCCTCCTCTGCCTCACCTCAGCCCCAGCCCCACTCACACCCCCACAGGTGACCCGGTGCCAGGTGCTGGCAGGGTTTGGAGGGGGCAAGAGGTGGTAAAATTCTTCCTCCACCTCCCAGGAGAGGATTCCCACTGCCCCCATCTCCTCCTCGAGGACTTTCACTCCTTCCTGAAGGGCCCCCTCGTCTTCCAGACCACCCCAAATCCATGGGGTCACCTCCCAGCTGAGGTTACCCCACCTCCCAAAGGGCTGCCCCTCCTCCAGACAACCCCAAATCCACCCAATCCCAATTGGGGTGCTCGGGCCCAAAGGCAGCTCCTGCAAACCCCTGTTGTGTCCAGGCTGGGATGTGGGATCCCAGGAAACCTCATCCCAAGGCTGGGGGGTGTCCTGACCATGCTGGGGGGAGCAGCCCCATCCCAGGGCTGTGTTCTTGGGGGGGGCCAAGCTGGGAAAGGTGTTTGGTTTTGTCTTGGAAGGGATGGTGAAAGAGGCAGGAGGAAGGGCAAGGATGAAGGATGAGCCACCCCCCACCCCCTCCAAGCCTCTCTGGGGACACCCAAACTCCCCAGAGCCCAAATCCAGTTGTTTTGGCAGCTGTTGGTTGGGGCTCTCGGTGCCAAGAGGAAAATCAGCCCTTTCCAAGCTCATCCCTGCCCTGGGAAGGGGCTGGGGAGGGAATGGGGGGCAGAGAGACCCCAGCAGAGCCCCACCCCTGCTCTGGGGGTCCCAGGGAAGCAGCCCCAGCCCCAGGGGTGCTGCCTCCTGCACTGAACATCTCAATAGATGGTTAAAATTAGTATTTCCAATCAGAGAATTTAGGAAAAAAAAAAAATCGGGGCTTTTTTCCCCTCTGGATTTGCCCCCCCCTCCCCAGAAATAAACCTCAGCCCTCCCCCCTCCCGCTGGGGTGGGACCAGGGAGCTGTGGGGGCTCCTGGTCTCTCTGGGGGTCCCACCCTGGGCTTTCACCCCCTTTCACACACTGACTGCACGAGGACAGCTCTGCTCCTGCATGGACACTGCTCCACAAGAACCACCAAGGATAAAATTGGGGCAGGGTCTCGCTCTGCTCCCAGCTGGAGTCACCCCCACGCACTGAGGGGGGGACAACGGGGACACCCAGGGTCCCAAACTCGCCCCAGGAGCCCGGAGCTGATTTTTATCCTTGGATATCAAAGAAACCAAAACGGAGAGAAACAAAGGGAAGAGCTACATCAACCCCAGCCCAACACCCCAACCAAGGGCCCGAAGCAAAGAGCAGCCACAAAACCAAAAGCAAGAAAAAAATAAAAATAAAAAAGGTCCAAAGGAAGAAGGAAGAAGTCGCTCACTCACGGCTTGGTCTGTGGGTTGGGGGAGTGGGGATGGAGGTGCAAGCAAGCAAACGGGGCCGGGGCTCTCTGCCAGGGTGAACACATTTGTACAAAGTTCAAGAAGCGCCGGCAGCGCCCCCAGGCCGGTGGCTCTCCCTGCTCTCTGTCCCGCCATCCCTCTGTCCGTCCGTCCGCCCGTGCCGGGCGCCAGAGAAAATCTGTTGGGTTTTGTGGGGTTTGTGGTCTGGTTGCTGTTGCCATCGGGGTTCTCTTGGCTCCATTTTTCTTTCTCTCTCTCTCTCTCTCTCTTTCTCTCTCTGACCCCTCCTAGATGAAATATTCCTTCTTGTCGTCGCCGCCGGCCTGGCCGCCCTCGGCGTTGATGATGGCGGTGTCGGCGTCCGGAGCATCGTCCGAGCCCTTGGCCTCGTGGGTCAGGTACGTGCCTGGAGGGTGGGGACAGGGCTGGGGGTCACGGGGGGGCTCTGCCAGCGCCCCCTCCCACGCAAACAGGGCGAGGCTGGGCTGCCCGGAGGGCTCCGCTGGGCTCGGCTGCAATGGAAAAGTCGCTGGGATGGGGATGGGGATGGGGATGGAGATTGGGGGCGCTCCGGGTTTTTGTAGCAGGTTTTGTCACTCACAGCAGAGTGACCACTGCCAGTCGGGGCTCCTGTCCCCACCCAGCCCTCCTGGAAAAGCAGGGGTGCCCCTGGAGCAGGGTAAAGGGGGGCTCTACTCACACATCACCATAGGGGACGGCCGATGGCGGGGTGTCACCGTGTCCCCAGGGCTTGGGCACAAACCTGCTGGGCATGAAAAGGGCAGGTGGAGGGAAAGGAGGAGGAGGAAGGCAGAGGGAGCAGCAGGGAGAGGGAGGAGGTGAGGGGGACATGGGGACAGGGACAATCCTGGGACAGCGGGTGTGGAGCAGAGATGGAGAATTGGGGTGGGAGCTGCCCAGCTCGGAGCATTCCCGGGGACATTCGTGACATTCCAGGACCCCCGGCTCCAGGAGGGCTCTGCTGGCTCCTCTCACGACTCAGCAAAGGCTGCAGGACCAGGAGCTGCCTCCCTTCATCCCCCCAGCACTGCCCCTCTGCTCCAGGGACACAGCCCCGAGACCCCCGAGGACACGGGGACACAACACAGCCCTGTCCTATGTGTGACACGGGGACACACACACAGCCCTGTGTGACACAGGACATGGGACACACATACAGCCCTGTCCCAGGTGTGACACAGGACACGGGGACACCACAGAGCCCTGTCCTGTGTGTGACATGGGGACACGGGGACACCACAGAGCCCTGTCCTGTGTGTGACATGGGGACACGGGGACACACACACAGCCCTGTGTGACAAAGAACATGGGGACACCACAGAGCCCTACCCCATGTCGTGTGACAAAGGGACATGGGGACACCACACACAGCCCTGTCCCACGTGTGACATGGGGACACGGGGACACACACACACAGCCCTGTGTGACACAGGGACACACACACAGAGCCCTGTGTGACACAGGGACATGGGGACATGGGGACACACACACAGAGCCCTGCCCCACGTGTGACACATGGGGGACACACACACAGCCCTGTCCTATGTGTGACACAGGACACGAGGACACCACAGAGCCCTACCCCACGTGTGACACAGGGACACACACACAGCCCTGTCCTGTGTGTGACATGGGGACACGGGGACACACACACAGCCCTGTGTGACACAGGGACACAGGGACACACACACACACAGAGCCCTGTGTGACACAGGGACACACACACAGCCCTGTCCTGTGTGTGACATGGGGACACACACACAGCCCTGTGTGACACAGGGACACACCCGTGCCCCCCTGCAGCCCCCCCGGGCCGTACCTTTGTGCCTGATCAGGTAATGTCCCAGCACGATGAGGAGGCTGAGCAGCAGGAAGACGATGACAGCCACCACCCCGCCGATCATGGCGTGGTAAGTGCTCGAGGTCGAGGGCACGGGGCTGGCGTCTGCCCAGGCAGGGGGAGAGAAAAGAGAGAAGGAGCTGAGACCCTGCAGGGGGAGCAGAGGCTCCATCCCAGCGGCTCCATCCTGCTGTGGGTCCCGGCAGAGACAACGGGGAAGGCAGCAAGGGAAGCCAAGGGGAAATGCCATCCTCCACAGTGGGGTTTTGGCCCCGAAAAGGGAGGATGAGCAGGCTTGGGTGGAAGGTGACATGCAGGCTGGCACGGCCGCAGAGAGGTGATGGCACCCCGAGGACAGCAGGGCCCCAAAGCTGGCTCCAAGTCAGCCACGTCCCGTCCTGGAATTCCGTGCTGGAATCCTGTGTTAGCCCTGGGGCACGGCCACAAATCCTCCTCCCCATCAGCTCAGAGCCACGTTTGGAAGGGACAAGGCGGGGGACACACAGGGGAGGCAGCAGGACAGAGGGACAACACGTGACACGGACACACAGGACAAGGAGCTGCTGCCACAACCCGCTGGGAAGAGCCCAGAGCTCCTGCTGGAAAACACCAAAATCCACACACACACACCAAGGGACTGGAGCCGGGCTGGGCACCTGGCAGGGCTGTCCCCAGGCCAGGGCTGGGCCACCATCGTCCTGTGGAGCTTCTCGGGCCGGGCTGGGCCGCAAAGAGACAGAAAAGGAGCTTACGGTACCTTGGATGAGAGCTGGAGTGAAGGATGGAGCGGAGGCCATGGAAGCATGAGAGATGGGCTGGGAAGGGCCCGGCGGAGGGGCTGGAGTGGAGTGAACGTGTGGGGTGGGGAGCTGGGGAACATCTGGGGAGGACAACAAAAAACACAGGACACCAATCAACGCTGGGAGGGGCCAGCGAGGTGACAGAGCCCGGCTGGGGGGGGCTCTGAGGGGACCCTCCATGACCCCACGGACTCCTGTGTGCCACCAATCTTTGGGGACATCGTGACCATCATGTCCCGTCTCCTGTCCTGCCACGCCCTGGGGCTGCGCAGCAGGGAAGTGTCACCCACAGCGAGGTCCCCTGGGCACATCCTTGGGGACCTGGGCGGGGCTGGCACCAAGGTGGGCGAGCTGGGCACCGAGGTGGCTCCCAGGGCCTGAGACGTGAGTGGCTTTAGGGACAAAAGTGGGAATTCCACACACAGAACCAAGCCTGGATACGGAGCTTGTCTGCTGTGCCAGGGGTGGTGACACCAGGTGGGCAAGGGACAGTGGCTGCCACCTCTCCTGGACAGCACGAGGCACCCGGGGCGAGCTCCTGGATGGGGGCACAGAGCTCAGGGAGATCACGGGACACCACGCAGGGGACAGGGGGGACACACAAGGGGTGACAGCACAGGGTTGGGCTTCTGGGGGCTCGTTCTGGGCAGGCTGAGGGAGGGGACACAGGGGACAAAGTGCCTGAGATGCCACTGCTGCCTCCACAGTGCGGGGGAAGGATGGGAAGGGAAGAGCCAGAGCACTGGAGCAGGGAAAGTCCAAGGCTGGGAGAGAGAGGTGGAGAGAGGCTGGGAGAGCAGGGACAGCCCAAATCCAAGGAAAAATCACAGGGCAAGGGAATCATCGTGTGGGGAAGGGCACTGGGAGCTGGCACGGCAGCCAGGGGTGGGCACTGGCAGCACCACACAGCACACACAGCA